CCGCAGCGCACAGACGGAGCCTGCGGAACCTGCGACCATGCCGTCGAGGTCCATGGGCCTTACCCATAGGCCCTAAAGTAGTTCCTTTTTGTCCAAGGTTAGAAGTATGGGCCCCTAATATGGGCCCTTAGGGGGTTCTAGGGACCCTTTAAGGGTAAATATAGGGTACAAAGTAGGTGGAAAAGGATCCCAGGGCTAAGGGCCCATACTAGGGGCCCATGGGTTCAACCCTAGGAACTCTGACCCCTCAGGAACTCTGAACCCTCAATCCGAGGTCCATGGATCGGACTCTGAAGATCTTCAAGAACGCCTGAGCTGCGAACGTGCGGTGAGTGCTGGGGCTCCTTCCAGGGAATGCTCAAAGGTCCCGCAACTCTAAGAGCTACTTCTGTTTCTTTTTTGAACAGGTTGCAAAAGTGGTTAGGTTTAGGCTACATGGTCCATAAAAACTGTTGTTTCTTTTTTGAACGGGCTGCTTAAGCGGTTAGGTTTAGGCTACATGGTCCATAAAAGCAGTTGCTGGAGCTATCGTTTCTTCTTTCTTGCTGCTTAGGGTTGAGAATTCAGGTCTGACCCCTCAACATCAAGCAGTCGTTAAGGAAAAGCAACGGCGCTATGCTATAGTGCCGTTGCTGTATAGATTTTATCTATACCTAAGAGTACTGGTAACGATCAGTATAACAAGTAATAGGAAGAGAATACAACGCACATACGAAGTTGTTCGATCCCTTACGTGGTGAGGCAGCGAAACGAACAGCAACAGACTTCAAGACATTGACAGCAACCGCAGCCCGAACCCCTGGAGCCAGGACCCTGGACTACACCTTGAGCCCCGGAGTCTTTTCCATCTTGCATGCCTTCCAAAAGTAGATCCCTTAATGCAGGTTCCTAGAAAGAGCCTTTAGTAGTATCCCAAATTAGGGGTTCCACTTTCTAGGTTTAGGGTTTATGATACCCACCGCAGTCTGTCTAGAAGACCCTCCTTCCCAGAGAACCCAATACCCCTTAATTAAGGAATATACCTTAAACCATAGTATTAAGGACCCTATGATGTAAGGTATATTCCTTAATTAGGGGGTATTGGGTTAAACCCTAAACCCTAAACCCTAAACCCTAATTCTCTGGGTCCTTTCCACGGAGCCCCAGCGCCGCTGTAATTCAGAGCGCTGTGTCGGCCCTGGCAGCGGGTCGCTGGGCCCCTGTCTTTGGGAGTTGTTCGGCTGCGCCGGAAGACGAGTATAATACAGTATAAGTAGTATAATATAGTATAGTATAGTTTAATATAGCATAATATCGTATAAGATACGTATAATATTGTATAAATACGTTGGAGTTTTACATGGCCCTCTGTTGTCGGGTTTGGAGTTTCGCGCTTGGGGTGTCGCGCTAAGGGCTTCGTGGATTTGTGGTTAGGGGTGTTACGGCTTGAACTTTAGTTTGCTGGGGATGCGGACCCTAAACCCTAAACCCAGATGTCAGGCATGTTTCTGTTTTGGTGGGTTATAGAGGGCTTAGAGATTAGAAATGGGTTTGTCTCCACCTGTAGTTTCCTTTAAGTTTGCGGATGTGGAGTTTTGGGTTCCTTGGTCGTCTTGCGTCTTCGGTGGGCAACCGTGAATATGCTGTGTGCCTCATGCTGTAGCGGATGGCGAGGCCAGGAAAAAATCTGTCGCTGGGAGTCGAAGGCTTTGGAGATAGAGTGAGCTTGCGGAGAAACACCCACATATCCTCAACCCTGCGCCGCAAACCCAAAGACCCATGCCTCCTGCACCACCGAAATCCTTGCGAAACTTCCACCCCAAACCCCAAACCCCAAGCTCTACACCGGACCACGCGAAGTCTCCGAGGTCTTTGCTCTCTGCGGTCCCTTTGACATGGATCACATGGACAAGATGGACAGCTGCCCAGGCGTGGCCCGCGCTCCCAGTCGAAGCCACAGATTCCGACTGAGATCTTCTGTGCTGTACTGCATTATCTTATACTATGCTGCAGTAGTATAATTACTAGAGTATACTTGACTATCACGCTCCGGTTTCAAAACGTCAAACACAGGCGGATGTTGGTGTCGTGTTGTGCGAGTTTGCATTGCTTGACCGATCTTCGGCTGAAGCTGTGCATCTGACTCCTCCCTTTTCGCGCACCTTCCACTCACCGATGGCCGCGACGGCGGCGCAGCTTGGCCCGCTGCAGGGTGCACCCGTGGTGGTGCTGCTGGGTGGCGTCGGCGTGGGCAAGAGCTTGCTGGCCACAGCCCTCGCCGGGTTGCAGCAGACGAACCAAGTCTTTAAGGTCGGCGACAGCGCCGAGGCCGTGACTTTGCAGGCGACGTGCCACCGTGCACGCTGGTTTGGCCGTGCCAGCGAAGAAGAAGTGGTTTTGGTGGACCCGCCGGGTGTGGGCGACGGCGAGCAAGATGCCACGAGGCTGGCACAGGTGGTGCGGATGCTCCGTGACTTTGGCTACGTGAACCTCTTCGTGGTGGTCCTCAACGCAGAGCAGCCGCGCATCGGCAGCATCCTGGAGAATCTGCTCCGTCTTATGGAAGAGTGCTTCGGCAAGCGCTTCTGGCGGCATGTCGTCTTGGCCTTCACGCGCTACTACACGGATCCCCGGTCCGCCCGGCGCCGCGGCAACAAGACACGGGACATGATGCGCGAGGAGCATCTCAGTCGTGCTTGCACGTGTGCATGTTCCGTCTCGCGAATTGGTCCTTGCCCGTTGCTTGTGTGCATAGCACTGCCAGGAGTTCAGCGCGCTGCTGGCGGCCCAGTTCCCCCACTCCCTGGAGGAGCGCCTCCCGCGCGGCGAGCCCTTCCCCAGCAGCTCGGATCTTTTGTTAATGCGCATTGATATACGCAATCTGCCCAGCGACAGCGTTGAGCGAAAAAGTTTTGTCGCAGCCTTGCCGTTTGAGGCTACTTCGTCGACTCGGAGGCCGCGGTGAACCCCGAGCTGCCTGAAGCCGAAAGGACCCCCGGACGGGTTGAAAACCTCAAAGGAACAAACTCTGCGGCCCCTGAGCTGTAAAGCATCCTGAATCGTAAAAGGACTGCCGCATTCCTCGAGCTGGAGCGGCTCTCTGTTCTGGCCCGATCCAGCGCGAAGCTGCCCACGTGCCTTGCTGACTCATTGGCTCGACCTGGCACTTGCATGGCCAAGAAACGCGGCTTCAGGGTTTGGGGTCTGTGCTCGGAACGTCCTTTGCATGGATGCTGTTTCGAGCTCCATATCTGGCCGCCACGAGAAATGAGTGCTGAGTAGTGACATGGTGTAAAGGAAAAAATTGGGGCAACTGCAGTTCCTCTTGGGGATGTCGGGGCATTTCAGGAGACCTCAGGAGCAATGAACACTCATGGCGCGGAACTGCTCTCCCAATCTTGCTCAGGCATTCTGGCAGCGACGGCAGTGCGCCGCCCAGCAGCTTCCGAAGCTCGTCCCGTGCGCGGGACACGCTGCTCACAGCTTATGCTGTCTTGCCCAAGTCATGGGAGGCACTCGTGACGTCAATTTCTCCGTAGCTTCCCTGATATCTCTGATCAAGGCTACTACTTGTAGTTGACCCCCGATACTGTAATTAATCGAACATCCGCGCTGCTCTGGCCCACTGCCAAGTCTCGTCGTGAAACCGTGCATCACGTGGGTTGTTCGCCACCAGGCGAAGCATATGAGTTTACCAGCATAAAAACCTGGGAGCATGCTCTGATTTGTAGCAATGTCTCAGCTGTTATCCTCAAGCATCGAAGCCCATTCCCAAGGCCTCGCTGGCACACCCACTGGAAGCAAAAACAGCCCCAGCATCTCTGCGAGGAGCCAGACTCCGCCTCCGAGATGGATGTCGCGGACGATACCTTCACACAGCCTCTGTGCCATCAATGGCTATGATGGCTTGGTTACAACAATACTTCTGGTAGGCATGATAAACGACGATGATGTTAGTGGTGCTGCTGCTGCTGCTGCTGATGATGATGATGATGATGATGATGATAATACCGAAGCCCCACGGCCCAAGCGTGAGTGCCCTGCTTTGTGCGGCGTTCTTTGGGGGGCTTCTTCGCGGTTGTCTTGTGTTTTCTTGGGTGAATTGTAGATGAGCGATGGCCGCAGCGACGAGTCGCATCATCTTGACGATACGTCGTCTTGCGACGAGGCCACTCCTCATGAT